ATTATTGGGAGGCAAATAATGGGTAATATCTCTTATGGGCTAATTTGGTTCCATGAATAGCTCACCTCACATATGCATGCTACATACTAAGTCCATTAATGCTTTGAATTAGCTTCAGAAAAGGTAATACTCCACAAAATTTACCCAGTCAAGGGCATTTTCACCTGCTGACAAATTTACATATCTCCCAATGTCATTAGGTAAGAGCTAGTCATCAGAATAGCAGAGGGTATAGTCATTAGTTAGTTCATTTATTTGACCTCACCAGTGTTAACTTTAATTATAGTCAATTATATTTAGCAATTGTTGTCTTTCCTGGGTGGCACACTGCCTTACTATTTCAAGAAACTATAATTTTAAAAGTCCACACTAGAATAGGATAGATGCTCTTTGAAACATTCCAGAAGGATTAGCATTTAAGACAGCTGTATAGAAAATCGTTTGCATGATTCCAATTTGAACATTATTTATACATTAATTTAATGGGATATAAAATCAATTGCCTAATTATTGGTTCAATTTATCAAAGAAATTCTCCTGAAAGGTCCTTGATTACGCTGCATAGTTATGATAATATAATCAAATTTCTTTTCAGACATAATTGTCTGACCAATTTTGTTCCCTGATCCATTTTTTTCTCAGTCTTAAGATGGGCTTTTTCATTTGTTTCCCCCTTGAAAAGTAAAAAACAGCAAGTACTGTACATGGTCGCCCTGTAATTATGTGGTGAGTTCTTCCCATGCTAAAGCTGCACACTTAAACACAGACCTAATAAGTGGAATTGCTGTAATTTAGGATGCTGTAAACACCGATCATGCTGTAATCAAAAAGAGGTGCCCATGTCGGTGTGTACCAGCCTGGCCCATATGGCAAGAAGCAATCTGTGAGATGATACAGTTTATCAAATCAAGTTCCCCAAATTCTTGCCTGTAAATTCAGCGTTCCTCATAAACAGTGAATTACCCTTACAGATGTTTGCCTATGAAATTATCAACTACTGAAGATACTTTGCTAGGAAACACAATCTGTTCAGCGTCAGATTGAAGAGAAGCACTATATCTGCATATCTGACTCTAGAAAGGATTTAATTGATAGTTTGTTGATATTTTTTAAGTAAATTCTTGCTAGGAATAAATAAGTCATACAACTGCAGAACTAATAATCACTGAACATCCATCCTTGGCTAGTAGCAGTTAGGGCATGCTGCTCTCCTTGGCTGAACTTTTCCAGAAGTGATTACTCCAGGACCCATAAAACCCCGTGGAGCTCAGACAAGAAGCTGCTCTGCTGCCCGTATTATTACATATGAGCAGCTTAGGAATCCCTCACATGACAGATGAATTGTAACTGCAAAACGCCATCACTAGGGCCAGAGTTGTTACTATTTTTCATTTCTGTTTGTACTCGAGGGTAGCTTGACTCTGAAGAGAAAATGGCACGCGGATGGAGGCAGGTATGCAGGCGGCGCTGCGCTGCGCAGATTGCTGCCTTTAAGTTTCTGATTTGTAAAGTTTATAATAAGCAATAATATGCTTGACAAGTAGCAAAGACATCTGAATTTATACAGCTTGTTTGGCGGGAGAAGGGAGGTTGGCAGAAAGGTGGTGTAGGCTGGTGTATTCCGGTGTGCTTGAAAAACGACTTGAAATTATTTAGGCATAACTGAATTTGTACAAATGATGGAAACAATGGATGCTGATGTGAATTATTGGCTGATGCCATTATCTGTTAATTGTGAGGTAGGCTGGAGCTTGGGAAATAAGGAGGGGTGCAGGTAAGCCAACAGGAACAGAAGGAATGGATATGGGATGGTTGTCAGAGACCAGGGCGTGAACTCCTTAACTCCTTCCTGTCCTGCACAATGTGACCAACAGTCCAATCTTCAAGGGTTGTTGTGAAAAGCAAATGACATAATGCACTTGAGTACTATGCCTGGCACACAGTAAGCAGCCCACTACTGTTATTTTTCTATTTGTTGCAGTAATTTGTTACTGTTATTATTTGAAGTGAGATTTGAAAATACTATGAATGGCGGAAAGAAAGCATTAATTCTAAGACCTGCTGATACATGTTGGTTTGCTGGTATTTATAAAGTTTCTAGAAATAAATTAGCCAGCATCTGAGGCAATGTTTTAAGTGAGGAGATTCTCACTGGTTTGTGATGTAGGTTTGTGATGGGGGACTAGACAGGTAGGTGTGGTGCTAAGCCAAGACCAGGTTCTATTTTCTGCTTCTGCCATATACTAACCTCACCCTAGGTTGTAGGTCACTTAAAATCTCTCTGGACCTCAAATAATAAGGGTCTACCACACTTCCTATGGTCAAAACGAGATAATGAAGTTCAAGTGCTCTGAAAGGCAGTCCCAACCTGTAGGGAAATGAAGTTGCCACAGCAGGCTGCATGAGCCCGCAAGACCAGACAAGGTGGGCTACGACAGGAGAGGGTGAGAACCAGGGGTGTGGAAAGAAAGAGAAGTGGAAGCGCTGGTCTGTGGGCCAAGCCCATTATCAGATAAATGGGGTGAGGACCTTCCACAGGAAGCCAACTGGTGTGAATTTTAAAAAGGGGGCCAAACTAAAATGCATTAGGCAAAAGTATTTCCATGGCCTGGGGACTGAGGGGCTGAGAACTGGGAGAGCTGGCCTCAGTTAATAAAAGGTCTGTCCAGTGCGAGCTGAAGTGCACCGGGTGGCTGGCTGCTGGTGTGGAGGGAAGGGAAGTGATGGAGGAGCTGGGGAGGTCGGGTCACAAACAGACTGAGACGCCTGCGTTCTGCACGCAGACAGAGCACACACGTCAGGTTCCTCCCAGTGCAAGTGGGTGTTGGGGTGGAAGGGCACATAATCACCTGTTTTTCTAGAGGAGACTGGGCAACATGACACAGAAGTGATGGAATGTCACGCGCCTGGAGACCACGCTTTCTCCACCCTGGACTCTGCTTACTTTGAAAAGCACCGAGGGGGGGGTGGAGCAAGGTGCTGAGAAAGAGAAAGAAAGGGTCTCCCCAGCAAGAAGGAGGCAGCCAGGGAGCAAGGCGACCCACAGGCTTCCTGTGGTACCAGCCCCAGGGCTCCAAGCTGTGCCATGTAACATGGTCTATAAAAATTTAAGAATTCGTCATAAAATTGGGGACAAAAACTTCAGACGGCTTCTTTTTATTCTAAGCATAGGGAATGAAACATGCCATTCTTCAATAAAGGAAAGCCCACTCCTCATTAATGGTGCTGTTGGGAAAAAAAAACAGAATTCTATACAATCTACACCCCTTCAAAAAGGAAAAAAGATGTTTCCCTAGATTCTCTTTCATGAACAGAAGGACTTTTGTTACTTTCTCAAAGGGTGCTATCTTTTACGAGCTTACTCAGGGAACCTACTTCTCTGTCCACATTTAGGTGACATTCTGCTGTTTCTCTAAGCGGCTCCTCCAGCGGACTGGAGTTGCTAGCCTTTGGCAGGTGTGCACTCAGTGACTGTGTAGGCCAGGGTAGGCTGCTTTGAAGTAGAGAATACCAATGGTGACAAATTGGGTAGTGGCACTGAAATGGGTCCGGCCTTCCTTTGGGAGTTACGAAAACACCCACTGACTTCATTTGCAAAAGTGGGACCACTGTTGAGCCCAGAAGTAAGAGATTTCCCTCAGGGTTACCTCTCCTGGAGGCCGGAGGCCACCACTAGCGAGGCTGCGGTGATCCGGGTATCTGACCTAGCTCCATGTGACGAAGGGGCAAGCGGCTGAGATCCGAAGCACATGCCACTTGGGGATTTCACGTCAGCTACCCGCGTCTACCCTGACCCTGGGACCCCAGCAAGAGATGACTGAGGGGGTCCTGGGCTCTTTTCTCCATCCCTAATCCAGCTGGGCTCATCTCTGATCAGTGAAGGGCTCATGTCGTTAAAGGTCAGTAACAATGTTCTCGGGCTGGAAAGGGATCACAGACATCTGCAGCGGGTGGAACCACGTGGCAGGTCAGCTTCCTGCTCATCATTCCTTTGGTTGCATTTTCACAGGGTTCGCTTTCAACCCTGGGCTGCTGAGAGGCCCTTTAGCAGGGGGCGTCTCGGGGGCGCTGAGGTGACTTTGGTTACTGAGAAAAGGGCATGCAGAATTTTCACTGGCACACAGACTCTTTTCTTTCCCCGGCGCAATGCCTGCATGGTTTTCTCATGGCCACACTGATCATCAGTTGTCCTAATAACAAGCATTTAGATGCTGCTTGGTGGCGTGAAAGGGAATCAGGACAGGTATCACCCTCTTTTACGGCCAAGGAAGGGAGACTCAGGGAGATGAAGTCATCTATCCAAATCAGAGTGGCGCATGCTAGAGCCCGGACGGGAACTCACTCCCGTGACTCCTATTCTGCCTCCACCATATTGCTTTATGAGGCCAACAGCCAGAGACAGGAGATACATTTTTCTGGCTCGACTTTCGCTTTTCCTTTTGGTTTAACTGTTTACTTTGGGAGAGGTTATTGCCCTCGTTTGCCACTTCGTGCTGCCTCTGTGCCATTCTCATGTCCGAATTCACGGCCATTAGTAACACGTCCCCCCGCTCGCCAGCATTCTCTGGACTCTCCTCCTTGCTTCTCTCCACCTTCCTAGACCTGCCCCCCTCATTACAGGCCACAGTCTCCACAACCATGTTCCAGCAACACAAAGCGGAGGAGAGAGCGCAGGAAGGCGAAGGTTCAGGGCAGGATCCTCAAGCGGGGACAGCTTTCTAAGGACAGGGGTGAGTCTCTGCCTAGACCCCAAACAACGGGCCCAAAAGGATGTGAGAGTGGAGCAGAAGCTTGATGAGATCAGGAGGCCAGTTTGATTCAGAGAATGGGGAGAGGACAGGTAAGAAATGAGACAGCGAGTACAAGCAGAGGGTCTTGAAGTGGGATGTGAGGATTCCCCATCACGATCCTTGCGGAAACAGAACAGTCATTACTTAAACAGTGTAAGCAGATAGATTGCCTCATTATTAAAAGGCACAGAAATAAAGATTTTAACTCACCCGTAAGATTTCTTCAACGCAGCTTGGATCACTGGGAAGGCTTACCTAAAGCAAAATAAACAAACAAATAAAATTAAGCACAGTCTAGTTATTCTCAGAGAAGCTTCTTGTATAATATTTTACTCTGTAGGAAAAACTGTAAAGGAAGTAAATACAGCTATCAATGTGGTTGTTTTCGCTATTAAACACAAAGCGCTAAGTGTCTGCAAATGGCCAATTTTGTTTTACTTTAATGAGGCAGTAAGACCACAGCACAAGTTGCAGAAAGAGAGTGACTCGTTCTGTTCCTGACGTGCTGTGGGACACTGAGCCACCCTCCCCCACCACCCAGGCTATACTTTGCTCATCTACCCAAAGAAGGGGCTCCATTTCCCGATCTTTAATTCCTCTTCAACTCGCTGACATAGTTTATATGTTATTCATAATCACAGATTTTTGAAAGATGAGGCTTCTCTGAAACACTTCCATGATTAAGTTTTCATTTAACTTAGGCATCTAACCAGATATCTACAATGTTTTTTCTATAACACCAATGCTAAAACTCCTGTGTGAACTGTGTGCTTGCCTGGGCACTCAGAATTTCACAAATATACAAAGTAAATCCCATGAACCATCTTTTCCAGTGTGACACCTTCCTAATCATGCAATTCAAGCAAGTAGCAGATGTGGACTGAGGGCTTACTCCGTGTCTGGTGCAGGGACCCTCCTCCAGGGGCTCCCTAATTGGAGAAAGCAAGAAGCCAAACACCAAAGTGAGACACTGGCTGCAAAGCTGTGCGTGACGAAGGACACGGGAGTGGGACAACCACCTGGAGAGAGGTCTGCCAGGTCTGGTGTCACCTGGGCTGGTTACTGGCATTCCCTAAACATTCCTACCCTCTCCTGCACATCTTCATTTGCTCCAGGATTGCAATGTGCTCACTTCTACTTCCCTGCGGTTCTGGTAAGGAGAACACTGCTCGCTTGAATTCACCACCTTGGGAAGTGAGAGGCCCGTCCTGTGAAGAGAGCACTGCCACGGAGGCTCTGGGCCCCAGGCCTCCTACACTGGCAGTTAAGTCATAACCTCCCTGTTAGTCTGTAGGAGGGAACTATGAGCATGACTCTATTTGGGGAAATGGGGGACAGAATACGGGACCAGTTTCCCTTAACTGTAAAAATACACGGTACAATCAGCAGCAAATATTACACTGGCAGTCAAGTCACCACTGTACATCCATTAATTACAACCTGTATTTGCTGAATACCTTTCCATGGAAAGGTCCCTGCTCGAGGAACATGAAATGCCTAATCGGGGAGGCAGGCTAAGAGAAAGTCACCGCTAATGAGGGATGTGGTTCCAGCTTCCACCTGTTATCCTGGTGTAATCGTTGACAGTGTCCCCCTTCACTCTAAAAAAGATCCCAGTTTGGATGAATTATATAGTTACCTATCCAACAATATTCTAATATTGCATCGACAGAACAGTAGGAGGAAAGGCAGAAAAATGTGGCTGGGCACACACTGTAGGGAGCCTTAAATACAGATTTCCGAAAAGGAAGTACAGGTGGTTTCGCCTAAAGTACTTGTTCATTCATTCATTCATTCAACAAATATTTTTTGAGGGCGAGGGACCATGCCACCAGTCCTGGGCTAGGCATTGATACAGTAGGAAGCAAAAGGACACACGGTTTCCTCCCTCTTGGAGTTTGCAGACTCCAGAGGAAGGTGGATATGAGGAATCACAGAGTCAATGTATGACTCTAACTGTGGTGAGCACCACAAAGGAGACCATCCCATGGACACTAGTTCTGCAAAGTGAAAGGTTCTGTGTTCACGTGCGGCAAATGCTGCAATCCAGCCCCCTCTTGCAAATTAAAGGCTCTGACACACCTATCTAATCGGTTTAATGCAGCACATTCTTAAACTTCTTGATCACTGATCTCATGGGTTTTTAGTTTTTGTGTGTTTTTTTTTCCAGTTAACAATTATCACCACTCCATAGAATGGATGTTTGCATAACATACACTGGGCAATGCTGGTCTAACAAACTACAGGATTGCAGAACACAACTGATTATTTTTAAAAGAAAATAAAATCTCATTGCATTGCTCAGTGCTCCAGCAGTTGTATTTTCCAAGACAATCCTTGAACTCCTAACAAATACCTTCCCCAAACACAAAGGTCAAAACGATTCTAGCAGAGACTTAAGGCTTCCATACCGTTGTTACACTGTTTCAGTGTCGGCTGCCTGGGCTGAAAAGGTGAGGTCCACTCTCATGAAAAGGTCTTTGTTCTCCTTTTCCCATACAAACACACAAATGTTAAATTTTAAATTAAAGAGGAAACAAAAATATCAGCAATGTGCTGGCAGAGCAATAACACTCACCCATGAGTCTAAAAAGTTGGGTGAGAGTCCTGGCCTTACCATCTGGGATCAGGACTTAGTAATTTTACCCCTCTGAATTCCAGTTTTCCCAATTGCAAAATAAAAAAATAAAATAACGATAATAATAATACCAGCTCCTTTCAAATCTCACAGGGTTTCTGTGAGCAGCAAATGAAATAAGTAACATGAATGTGCTTTGCAACCCACAGAGCCCCACACAATGAGCCAGGTTATTACCCCTTGCCCTGTTGCTCCGCACACCACTTTATTATTAAGTCCAGTCTTCTCATCTTTTCAAGGTAGGCTCTGACTCACTCTTGCCAACTGCAAATATCATCTCCACACCTGGTATTATAAATATCCATTTCCTTATGGGAGAAATGCTGTCAAAATAGAAAGAGTTGTGGACTCTGGGGCTTTGCAGCAAATCTAATAATGACTTATTGGGGTCGGTAGCACTCAGGACTGGGAAGAACTCTACAGACAGGGGCAGGCAAGTGAAATACTGGAATCCAGCCTTCGCATGGAGTCATAGTCCTCTGCAAACTCATCCAGCCCTGCCCACAGCTGTTCTCCCTGCAGGACGACTACATTTGAGCCACATGGGCTTCCTTCCCCCAGCAAGCGTCGAGCCTCTGCTCCGTGCCTAGAACAGTGTGAGGCATGGGGGCTGGCGATACAAAAAACTCCGAGCCTTGGCCTCTTTCCCTGAGAGTTAAATGTCTAGATGGGACGGGAAAACAAACAATTAGAGACCCACTGGGACATACTTTGTAAGGTAGTCATGACAAGGGTAATAGGATCGCATTCATTTGCAGGCTGCCTATTCATCGGGTCTCCCATTTATTTCTTCAAACAACAAATCCTGATTGAGCTCACACTGTGCTCAGGATGGTGCCAAGGGGGAGGATTTAAAGACACTGAAGACAACATAATTTCTGCCTTTGACACACCACACAAATTGGGGAGACAGACATTATCACAGGGAAACAGACAAGACGGAGCGGGATGTCCGATTCAGGTGTCAGGGAAAGGGTACCTACCAGGTTCACGGACAGAGCCGTGTCCGACAGGAGCTCCCAGCTGCCGAGGTCCCCACTGTAGTCCTCACTCCATACGGGAATGAGAGGCCAAGGCTCTGACATGGCTGAGGAGTGGTGGAGCCACCTGAGGCCACCTCGGTCTCTGTGCCCCTGCGAAGCACGCTGGGGTCACTTTGCACGCTGGAATGAAGCTGAACCAAGGCTGGAGCTCAGCCAGAGGGCTGCCCAGCCAAGGGCTCTGTCCCCTCTCTGTCTGTCCTTGTCCGTCTCATACACACCCCACTTGCACGGACTGTGCAGGAGTCACTCAGACAGGTGTGAAAGGGAGACTGAGCAGAGAACTAGTGGTCACACTGGGCTTAGTACCGCGGCCCACCGAGTTGCCAAGCGGCTGCTGAATTCCGGAGCCACCTTCTCCTCTCTTTAAATCCACTCTTGAGTATTCAGATAGTCCACAAAGCACAAGTTAGCCACTCAGAGCAGCAGAGTCCGTTTGCATCCCCCTCTCCACCCCCTCCTTCTGGAGCAGAAAGCAAGCTGCATGCCGTGCAGGGGATGCTGTACTCCACTCCTGGCCCCAGACGACCCTCTTGTGCTGGGTACAGATGTGGGCCTCTGAGGGCCAGTGGAAGCAGGCGCACGTCGGACAGGTGGTGAGTTGACTGAGAGCCCTCACAAGTGCATGTGACACTGCAGGCTGCCACCCCATGTAGCCACTGAGAGACCATGCACAGATCATCTGCCTGGTGATAAATACATATCTTAGGAAATAATCAGGGTACCTTTAAATCATCAAATATTCAATTAACTGCAGCAACAATAAATGAATTGCATAGGATGTTTTAATCATTGTGGAATTAATCAGTTTGGAGCATACTTCTTGGCGATTAGGGTAATACAAGATATCAAAAATACCCTGATTGTGGCAATGAGAGATATAAGCAGCCCTGAGCACTAATAGAAAACATGGAGATTAATGTAAAACATTAAAAGAATAATGATCATCTCGCTGTTAACCCAGGAGAGTTCAATGCATGTCTCTGAGTACCTTGTTATTAAGGGACTGTGAAGGAAGACAGGTCATTTTGTTCTCCCTAAAATCATTCTGGCAGTCTGAGCCCACTATTTCAGGCATACTCCGCCTTGAGACAAAGACTTCACAAAGTTAAACTCAAAAACTGCAAGCTTAATTGCCAGACAAGGCTTGGATTGTACCAAGTGGCACTGAGTGGTACACCACTAACACCAAGTTCCATGCCACTGGCCCAGGTAAACAACATCCACGACTGACACTGACGGCAGCTTCCAAACTCATGCCATCTGCGTTTTCACTAACCAATTGCCACTCTCATCCCCGTGAATCATTTACGGGTCACAGAGCAACCCTGACACGGCATTCCTAATAAAATGGAAACTCAGGTCATGATATCGTACTGCTAAAGGAGTTTTCCACCTTTTAAAAATACTTAAATCCCCATCGCTGGTCATTTGTAAAAACCGGGGGCAGCAGCCTCTGAAGTCCACCTGTGCATGTGCTTGGGACCCTCTCATCTCCCCTCCCCAGCTGGCCAGTCCCACTTCTCCGATTTGAAAAACTATAAACATACCCATTCACATTAGCATCCTTCTGTCCC